TTTTGCATTTTGTTCCTTGATATGCCTTTTGATTGCTTCTTCATCCTAAAAAAGTAGATTCGTATTTCCTCCAGAATCATGCCAGATATTTCATATAAGTAACATGAAAGTATAACAAGAAAATCATTTTAAAAAATTAGCCAAATCTAAGTAAACTCAATTGGAAAATTACGGGCTGTCCGTCAGGCCCCTTTAATCCTTCCGTTGCAGCAATTTGTCTCATTCGTCTACGATTATTATGGGCGCGGCGTTCTTCTGATGACATACGCTGATAACGCGAGCGCGCTGCTTCAGCCCAACGTGCTCGCATTCGTTTCTCACGTAACTGCTCATTAATATCAGGATCCTGAAATAGAGAGAATGTTATGAAAGTCAAATGCCTTTCCCAGAAACAAATAAAAATAGCTTCAGTACCTCTTGTATATCATTTGTTTGCCGCAACAGATTTTCAAGTTCTTCAAGTTCCTTTTCACGCTGCCTTTTGCGTTTCTGTGCCATAGTTCGCTTGATATTCAAAGCTCTTTTTTCCTCAGCGCTTAACCGGTGATATCGCAATCGTGCTGCCTCCGCTTGTTTAGCTCGCTTTGCTTCGTCCTTTTCTTTCTTTTCTTGTGTTGTACCTTTCCCACGTGTATACCTAAAATCATACATCATCATCACTATAAAAAATCTCGAAAGATCCACATACAAGCTCTCTGAAACAATCAAAAGTATATCAATATTTTATTGCATGATGCAGCTTTTATGTTCGCTGCATCATAGCACGATTACATACTTACTTTGCGACAATACTGGCAGGTGATGGATACGCAGCTGGAGCTGCAACAGCTACAGCAGCTGATGTGATAGGTGCAACTACCGATGTTGTTGGAGCCTGTTGTTCAATGAAGTATGAATCCAATATGGCAGCAATACGTCGTTCATCTGTTTCAGCACCTTGTGGCTGGAGAATTTGCATAGTTGTGCCATTTGGATTCTGTGCCGTTACAACTGCAAATAAAGAGTAAAATGTGAATTTTATTTAGTTCATTACATGGAGTATGAAAATCATAAACAGTGCTTTTTCAAGACATCACTGTCACTTCAGCTTACTTTAAAATCCAATTACTTGGTGTCAAGTGTCAAAGATGACTATGCGATAGTTTTTATTAATATTTATTCATCTATGAACAGCAGAATAACAAAAATTGGACACGCATCTAATTAACATTTAATTTCTTACCAGTCAGAACTGTAGCGCCTTGCTGTTGAGGAGATGTGACATTAACGGTCTGTGTAGGATTGACTGCTTGAACAAGGCGCACCTGCTGTTGTCCATTAAGCGTAGCTGTAGTGTTTGGTTGAATCTGGACGTTTTGAACCTAAAAAATATTAATTTTTATTCTCGCCTCTCGAACATGTGAAAAGCTTCGGCCTTTTGGTAAATGTGATAAATAGGAGAAATGCAGAGTAAGTTCATGATTAATGAATAGTAAACAACTCACTGAATTGGGAAGAAATGTTGTTGCTGTTGTAGAACTATGAAAAACAGGACCACTATTTGTTGTCGTAAATGGACTATTGGATGTCGTTTGGAAAAAAGTTGTACCTGCTGGATGAATAGTCATACCCGTGGGTGCTTGTGCTTGTAGCTGCAATTAAATATTACAATAAGCAAATGTGAACTGCTAAATGGATATGAATGATTGATAAAACTCACCTATGCATTACTAAAATTTTGCTTGAAGAATGCTAACCATATCTGCATATCATAAGTACGAAAACGAAGAACGAAAGCTATGCTCAATTTCCATACAAAGCGCATGGACGTCACACGCCATGTCAAATATTGTTCAATTCCATGTGTCACTTTGACGTTTTAAGTGTTCCTCGATGCCACATATCATCATGGCGTGAGTGCTCCTACACACGGTCACATTATTTGCAGATTAGTATTTAATCCTAACCAAAGTAAGTACGGCTAGAAGGGGAGCAATGACAAGAAAAATTGCCATATAATCTCCGTCCGCCTACCTAACATTACCTGCATCGTTGATTTCGTTTCATCTTTCAGAATACTGACACGATCGCCAATCACCATATGCTCGACCTGAACAAAAATTAAACATTTAAAGTTAGAATAAAATACTTTTTGTTCCAACGTAATCAAGAAATGACATTCCGGCGGTCATATGACCGCCCCAGGAAATCGCTCGTAAATACTCTTACAGTTCTTATTTTGGAGCATTTATAAAAACTTCAGTTTTAGAAAACAGGTGTCGAAAAAAAAGTGGGACCTGTTGTGGAGCAGAGTTAGATATATTTCCAGTCTGAAAATAGGCTGGTACCAAATTCTGATTCATTTCCGAGATAAACTGAAAGTAGGGAGATGATCACTTTCTCCGGATAATATTTAAATAACTAATAAACGAATATTCTTACTGCTTGCAAGAATGCAGTAAATTTCATGGATAAAAAGCAATTATACCGGAATATCGGATAATTTGTAGCAGAAATAGCAAAGCAATATATGTCAGTAATTCATGACGTTTCTCTCTTCCAGATGGCAGCTACCCTTGGATGCATTAAAGGCTTGGGTACAAATAATCGACATATATGTCACTTGTCTATTACAGTGTTTGTTAGCAAAAAATGTGCGCAGATATTATTGTTAATGAGTATCGCAGATTCCCTCAACAAAGATCGCGTATGATATAAAAAGGCCAATCATGCTTTTTTAGCAATCACTTCAGCGTCCATTTCTTACAGTACACCTTGTCATCCATACAAGGCTCTCTTTCATTTCAAATCCAACTTCCTTCCTACCGTATCCCAAAGGGCATTGATAGATACACGGATAAGTGTGTGTGTGTGTGTGTGTATGTGTGTATGTCTGTATTATCCAAAGATGCAAATTGAATTACAAGTTAAATTTAGACGCATTCTGCATGTTATCAGAGGCTGCATGAGGTGCAAAAGATGCAGTGGTAGTGGTATCGTTGCTCGGGAGAGGAAAGAGAGGGAGAACAGAGGTCAAGAAGGTAGCTTGATGGAGCAGGATGAGGTGATCTGCATGAAATGAAATCCTCATTCATATCTTATGCTAGAGGTCAGGCATGCATTCTGACCTCTACCGCAACATATGAATAAGCCGTTCATAAAGCGGGAAAGAGTTCTCGTTGCTTTGAAAAATGAGTACAACTTGAAGAGAGCTCATTGTCTGTCTGTCTGTCTGTCCATTCTTTCAAGGTGACACTAAACAAAAACTTAAAAATATAGATGGAATGGAATATAATAAATGAGAAAAATATATAAGTGAAGTGGACGAGTGAGATGAGATGTGTGTGTGTGTGCAAATGAGTGTGTGTGTGTCCGTGCGGGACACACAGACATACTCCATCAATCTATTGGCAAAATAACAGGCGGCAAGAAGGGGCCGTGCACTCGCTCCCTTCTCATCTGTATGTGTGTGTGCGTTTTGTTACACACACACACACACTCACACACACATATGTGACACATACGACAACAAATATATAAAGGAAGTGTAAAGAGGGAGAGGGCAGGCAGCGGCAGAGGAGACAGCATTGAACACTGAGCAGCTCGCGAGAAGATACACTGCTCGGGGGGTGGAGACTGCTCTTCGATAGATTGGATGACTTGTGAGTAGTATGGATTATGTGGAGAATTATGCATTATACGAGTGAAATAGTGCTGAATAAGAAGAATGTGCAAACTGTGAGACAACTGCGAGGTGAAATAGTTACCCAGAATGGTGAGGAAACAAAGAGCAGATTGTATGGAGAATGAGAAGAAAGTGTGCTTTTTGGAGGTATACGAAGGAAAAAGGAAATGGTACATTGAGATGATGTGAGAGATGAGAGAGGATGAAAGGATTGGGTCGATAATGAGAAAGGATGAGGAGAAAGGGGAATGCACAGAACGATACGAAAGTGAGGGACCGTCTCAGAGAGGGGAGCGGGAGAGTATGTCAATTATTAAGGAAGAGAAGGAGAAAAACATGCTGATATGGTGAGAGAGTATAGGGTATACATTTGGTGTAGCAGGAGAGATAGACGGACATGCGAGCATTAAGAGAGTATTTAAAACTATGCCAGAAGCGATCCGTAACAGTTGTGATGTATCTTGGAAAGTTTACCTAATACTGCTACATCAATGCTTTCCTTGCCTTCTTATCAGAGACAGAGGGTGACTGATCTATCCACCCACGTATTTCACTCTTACCATCCAAAAATGACTATGAGAGATGGAAAACAGGCCAAAGAGAGAGTTGCAAGTACTGTAAGTGAATGAGATGAACAAATGGTCCAAGAAGTGATGGTCAAAAATGGTGGTCAAAGTGCTCAGGTGGATGGTAGTGAAGAGAATTTCAATTCTTCCCTAACTATTCTTATCCGGAAATCATTTCAATTATCAATTCACCGAATTATTATCAATTCCTTCGAATCAAATTTCATTGCTAATTCCGAATTCAAACTTAAGTGATTAATCATTGCTACAAAATTGCGCTGATGACTTGCAGTTTTTCCAAAACTTTAGCCCTATAAAATAAGAAGAGTGACAGTCATATGATCTAAAATACGACAAAGGACATTTGCACTCTTATAAATAATGACAATAGAAGTCACGAAACGTACTGATTAATTTCACACATTACTCTTTGAATTTTTTCATTTAAAAATTAAAATTTTATTTGTAAATCAAGTTATTTGCAGACTAGAGTTCATCATTTTTTGCAAATTTCAATTAGCTTTCGATTCTTTTTTTTTTTGGAGAATTTGATCATTCATAGCTTTTGCTTAAAAATAATAGTGACTACAGTTATCTTGAGTTTAAAAAAAATTGTGTACAATGTGCTAACCTGTCTCTACTACTTTTACGCATGAGATAATTTGTGAATTATCTCAGCGCAACTAAAATTATTTTCAAAACAGAACACCTATACAGCATTTAATATCACTGGGCTTTTGTTGGCCTATTTGATGTCACTTTTTTTTTGTTGCTAACACTCGGCGCAGCTGTAAACTTTATGGAAATGCTTACGTAAACGTTCAATTTTTTAATGGAAGATGAACATTTTTTCGGTTAATTAATTATTACCTATATTTTCTTCCGCGAAATTCTCAGTTAATTTCAGAACTTTTATTTGAAACTATGAATTCGAAATAAATTTTTCAAATTGATAATAAGGATTGAGTTGTATATGTGTTTGTAATACATTTCATTAAGTTTCGTCCAGTAAGAGTGTATCGGTCATCTGTCATCTCTTAAATATTACAAGTTGATGAAAATTATCTCGATCTGTTTCAATTCATCATCTTATCATTCCATTATCGGATTCAAAACTTTTTTTTTTCTGTGAAATAAACTGTCACGTCTCTTTGTTAGTATAAAATGCTCACAATTTGTGATATGTTTGATATTACCGTATCATGAAGCTTAAGGCAGTTGATAAGAGTGACATTTCTGAGCAATTTCAGGCTTGAGAGAAGCAGATTACAGTAACTGACACAAATGGTCTCGTGAAAGAATGAAGAGAATAGCTTTTGGTTTGACGAGAAATGAAAAGATGCACGACAGAAATAGGGATAATTAAAAAATAGTTCATGAAGACGATTTAAATATCCGAAGACAGAGAGGTAGATTTTAGAAGGGACAAAGTTCATCTCAGAAAATGTTACGGTAGCTAGTTTGGAAAAGAAAACAAAGACATGATATTGAAAGGAAAGTAAAGAATGAAAGAGATTTGAAGAAGAGGTGGTGCTGATGACATACATATAGGATTTTGATATATGAAGTGAAAAATAAAAAAAAAAAAGAAAAACTAAGAAATAAAGCGGAGGAGGGAATAACAAACGAACAGAAATTTATTGGAAGAGAATTTAGAGATTTTGAACAGAGTGGAAAAGCTTTTTTGCATGATTAAAAAGATGAAAACTAAGAAATGAAAAGGGGGCAGTTGATATCATCAATCCCAAAAATAGATTGATGGATAGATGGATAGAATGATAGATGGAATGATAGGTAGAATGATGGATAGAACGATAGATGGAATGATAGATAGATTATCAAAAGGGTGACAATACATCTTCAGAGAGAGTGACCGTTAGATCATTTCTCACTCATACAATCTATAATATATCTATCTCTGTTTCTGACCTGAAATAATTTCTCTCCCGGACTGCTTCTCTCACATTTCCAATGACACACACACACACACACACACACACACACACACACACACACACACACACACACACAGCACATTGCATTTACAGTAGTTATACGAGGGAGAAGGAGAGAATATTTTCATCCAACCTCAATTTCTTTTTTTCTTATTCAAATTTCAAACCTTTCTTATAATCGAGCTTACAGGTATATATATTACTGCAAAATAAAATAAAAGGAATATGTAATCTGATCTACTAAAATCATTCTCCTATCTATTTGCTTACTTTTCTTTTCAAATGATATGCATACGTTTTGCGGCGTATTTAATGGTCAGCTGTCCAATCATTCCTACCGATATTGATGCGATGACAGGTCGAATAGAAATATCAAGTAGGAGAGAAGATTTTACCGATAATCCTGTCATTGGTATGATGCTAATGTTTAATCGTTGTTGAGATAGAGATAATTAGGCATAAGCTGCTTTCCTTGATTATTTCAATTATTGTTGTCGTTTCACGAATAAGAATCACAAGATGAAAATAAGATTGATTATAACTGTAAAGAGTGTTGAAAATTTGGGTATTGAATTAATGTGTTTGACGTAGAAATGAGCTGTGATGATGAGATATGTAAATTTGAAAAATAAAATGTTTCAAATTAAGTGAATAGTCTCACAAATACATATAATATTCCAATTGTATTCATCAACAAATTGTTTGATTTAAGCTTTTACATAGAAATTGTAATTAAAGCATTTTTTCAATGAAAAAGGAGTAATTTAAATTTTAATTAAATGGAGAAAAGTATTGCTGTTATGAATATAATATAAACTGCACCATAACATATTAGAGCATAATGTGAAATATGGAATAATAGATAACTTTACTTTCAAATAGGTAATAGGAAATTCAGATGGGAGAAACATGTTAATATAAAGTCTCATAATTCCGTGATTAGAAAATTCAAACAGTTGAAACCAATATAATATTTATAATATTTTTCCTTTACTTTTTTAATGGAAATTCATTCTGTTAGAAAAAAAATCATCGAATACAGATCGTAGTTTGGAAGGCTTTACTAAGTCAAACTTTGAAGCTTGCTCAAATAACTCCTGAAAAAAACTTCGGCAAAATTTTATAGCTGAAAATTTGCATATCATGAGTATCTAGAAAACTTCGGGGATCTACCTATCAAGGATTTAATTTATGATTATATGTGTATTGTAAAATTTTTTACACTGGTAAAGGTTAAACTTGAAAGTTGATCGATCATAAATATGAAGTCATATCTCAATACTGCTTAAACCATCATAAAGTATTTATATGGTTTTCTAACTGAGAATACGAAAAAATAACCTGTTAACCTGCAGTTAGTCCGAAAAGCAAACACTTGTAAAATGTTGTGAGGTTTTGCTCGAAAATGGGGATGCTATCGGGGTGAAGGGTCAGGATATAAATTTCCATCAAAAGCTTTATGGCGAGCACGAATGCGATCGTGAACGCATAAATAGCCACGACGGAATGCTCCATTTAATGTTTCGTTTCGGTTTCATTCCGTGTTTCTTCGGTTGACATTGGTGTAGACGATTTGATGGTTTCTGTGAATTGATAGCTTTCTGATTTCGGTTGTATTGCTGACAGAAAACTGCGGGACATTTTGAATACACCCGAGACAGCATCGGATGATGATAATGTAAAAATGCATATTGTAGTTGCTTTAGCAATCTGTTATTAATTTAAAATCCATTGCGTTTATATTTCCAATATAAATGTAACTTTAATTCTACTAACTTTTAGTGAATGGTTCAAAATTTTCCTTACAATACAAGCATTTCTATCGACAATGTTAGAATTACAGTCTCAATGTATTCCCTCATTTTAAATAAAATTCACATCATATATATGAAACTCTTTTTATATATTCGAAATATTTTAATAGTAAATTCAACATCAGTTAGTAGTCGGTCGGTTAGCTTTAATTAAATGATTAAAACTAACGCAATAAATTCGTTTTATAATATCTATCAAAAAAAAAGATCAAGAGCAGTAATGATTTAATTTAAAACCACTTAATTACTTAAATGTATTCTTGAAATTGAATGTGATATCTGGCATTGAAATATTTTAGATAGATGAGAAGAATTTATGCATAAATGCAACCTTAAAAAGAAAAGATTCCAATGAGTTCAAATAATTTGTTAAAAGATAATAGTAAATAAAAACGTTGTTTATGTTTTTGCAGCATGAGACAGAATTGATCAAAAGATCGTAAGACTTTGAATTTCAGCCTTTCAAATTGAAACGTTTTGATTTATCAAAATAAAATCAAGTGAACTAACCTGATCTAACGAACTGTATCAGTATTTACACATAGAATCATAGCAATCACTGGTAATAAACGATTGGATATTCAACAAATTTTAAACAAAGATCAAGAATAAGGCTTATAAGACAGTTTACTAATAAAAAATGTCGTGGAAATTTCCAATATTTTTTTACAGTACTACATGAAAATATATTTAATGATTAATTTTACAATTTATGAATTCAAAAAGATTTTTAAAAGTCTAATTTTTGAATGGAGAAATCAGATGACCTATATTGATTTAAAAACAAACATTTCTATGATTCATTATAACTTACTTATATTTTCAACTAGTAACTTTGGAGCAAGTTGAATTTTAGACCATTAACTTTTCTACCATACAGCTGTCAAGATTTCTAAACTCTGAGAAATGCATAATTATTTGACTGAGGTGATTCAGAAACAATCATTATTCAAAAATAAAATAAAGACAAGCGATTAACAAGCATTCATTAGCATTGATTTTTTATATTTAAAATCTCAAATGATATCTTCAAAACAAGTGATCTTAAATAACCTCTCCAATCTTGCGCATTTCTTGAATGCTTGTCTCGGTACTGTCATGTTTATTAACATTGGCACCCCATCTAACCCAGTCTCGTATTTTGTTATCAAACATAAACATACGAGGACTGGCTCCAGGCAAACTGCTTACGTTCTTACCAAAATTCGAATGCGCTTCCAAATAAACTGCTTTATCAGCTGTTCCATAAACTGAACCACCTAATATCATTAAATTCATAAATTTGAAATTATTAAATTGAAATTTGAAATTTGTATTTTTAATCACAATCATTATTTCATTTTTCAACTTCACATTCCAGTTTTAAAAGAACTTGTATTCCAGAGATGTTGTATTACTGCTGGAGCTGTCCCATTATTCGATATCTTTTTGCCAGAAGTAGTAAATGCTGCACATGGTATGGTAAGTACAAGTTTGGAGAGGATAATTCATATAGAGTGTTGAATATTCGGTAAGAATACTGTCAAGCCTAGAGGCACTTACAATGAGTTTATAAGTGCTTCTAGGTTGTTGCAGAACTGCAGAAATATTTATTTCAAAATTTCTCAACAAATTACAAACTCATTGACAATTTGAAAGAAGTTTTAATTTTTGAAGGAGATTTACAGAAATTATTAAATCAAGGCAATTCATCCACATCCTCTTTTTTATAATCTAAAGAATTTATCATTTTATCATTCCTTCATCATGAATTGGACAACAAAATTTAACCCTACCATTCACCGTAAGCTCATATTGGTGCTATTTTTTTATTATAATGAATAATGAATACCAAAAATGCAAGTTGATGTCTTTCAGGATTCAAGACTTGCACATAATGTATTAGTTCACCTGTCCTATATGATTTACAAATATCGTGTGTTTGAAACAATTTTAAACTTTTGCAAGGAGCTATACATTCTAGTTTCGTGTTATCGTCAGTTTACATTCTCACAACAACAAATAGCGAATATATTCACCAAAATAAATGTCGAAAGATTCCATTTCATGTTAAAACAAATAGGGAATATTCTTTTTTAAACACCTCACATACTTCACAATTATGGAATATTACTTAGAAAGAAATACCCACCAAACTCCAGCAAATTCTTCATCGAACAGTGGCCTCAACAGCATTTACTAGACATACACAAAGACAACCGTCCAACTTGGCCACATTTTAAAAGTGAACCACAACAATTTCAGGATGTTTTTATATTGAAAAAGGGAAGGAATGGTACCCTTCCATTCCAGATGATTCTTTATTATCATATGAATATAATGCAATCAAAAACTTTTTAACAATAAATCTCACAACTTTGAATGTAGGATTCTGAGCGTAAGACTAAATCTTTTATCAATAAATCTCACAGCTTTGAAAGTAGTGAATCATAGTGACGCATAACAATGAACTGAATAAACACAACAATGGTATGGTGATGAAATTCATGAGGTAAAGTCATAAATTTTAATTTCATCTATATCTGAGTGGAATAGCTGATGTAAAACATCGATCAGATGAGTTTACTTCATAAAACGGTGTTTTACATCAGCTATTCCACTCAGATATAGTGAAATTCCTTACCAAGTTCATTATAGGAGCTGTATGCTTGAAATTTCATTTGACGACTAGTTTATAATAATGTCTTGAATGTAATCAGCTAATCATATAGACAAGATAATAATTATCTAAAAACTGAACTTTATTCTTACTTCTCACCAGCAACATGTATAAAAGAGTTGTGCCCTTCAGCAATATAGAATGTATTATTAATGAAAACAAATTATGAAGTATAAAGATTAATAAACTCTTCGTCGTACTGGAGATCGATCTCGCATCGGTAATCCTCCACTACGCCGCAGTATCGGTCCAATAGGTCCAATACCTGGCAAAGTGATTGCCACATCAATAAAATCACCAATTTCGAATTTGCAGTTTGCTAGCTATAAAGTAAATGATGTGAAGCACGAAATTATATCTGTATAAATTTTTAGAAATTCCATGATTTCGGAATAAGGAATGACCTATCTAAAATTTGAGCTATCGTCAGTAACGCATCTTGAAAGTAAGTTCAATCCAAATCTCTTTTTCAAAATTAAATTTAAAAATCTACAGTTCGGATCAATCAGGAGCACCCCAGACAAGTTCTCATGCATCAAAAAGAAAGAGAATTTTGAAGATAAAATTACTGGTTAAAAGTTCTTCAAATTATTAAATTTACCGTCTTATTGTCGTCCACACCACGTTGCCCGTTCATTGTGTTGCCAATATCCCTCATCACATATCTAGGAGTAAAGCGATCTGGAGCTACTGAAAATCAATACTATCAAAAACAGGAAAGATGTAATTTGTGGCATGAAAGCAATAAAAATGACATCAAAGTGAGATAAAACAATTGAGTTCTACGATATAAATGAAACTGCATCAATCGTAATCCAGGCTAATGCAGTTTTGTTGAATTTGGTCCCCTTTTCCTTAGATTATACTAAAGAACTCGCTATTATTAAACTTAAGAAGCTTCACTTTTATCCACGAGTAATTCTTCAAAGTAATATTACCGACTGCAAAATCAAACGTTGTGCCCCGTCGTCGAGCATCTGGATTCACCTCCTTGATTAATGACATTAGTTCTCTTAGGGTACAATCCAGCCTGGAACAAAGTTTTTTGATACAACAACCTCAAGCTACTTTTCCGATTCACCGTTGGATTACGGTAATATTTACTTACAATTTCATTAATACAAACTGATTCAGCGAGTATCTCCCCAGAATAGCAGAAATATCTCAAAAGGCATGGTTAGGTAACAAGACAAATATAAGACCAGCTATAAAGAAAATCATGGAGATGATGAAGCTAAAAAGATGAGAGCCGAAACAGAATAGCCAGTTCTAAAGCAAAATATTTAAAGTGTAAGACCTTATACGAATGGTGATATTATGTAATAATATAATAATGATATTCAGTAACCTTCATAAAAATTAATTTTACATAAGAAGCAAAATACCAAGTATAAATCTGTAGTTCATTGGCGGGAGTGCTGCCACGCCCATATTCTGACAATGGATTATGTCGTCCATTTGCACAGAATATTCGCAACAGAAGTGGACATATCTAAATACAGTGCTGTCATGAAATTATGAGAAATAACAAATAATTTTATCATTTATTGAGCTTAAGTCATGCTGAAGTAAGCTTTCATTTCTAAAGATAACAGTTTGAAAGTGAAGCTCAGTAAGAACTAAATTACAATAAGGAAAACAAATAATTATAAAAAATAACCTTTTCACGGTCCAAAGTTTTCTCTTCTGGTGCTTCCACTTGAGATATTACGTTCATCTTTCGCTTTGCTTGCTGTTCTAGAATTATTAGAATGTAATATCAACCTCGTCCTATCTTAATCTCCAGTGATGTCGAACATGACAATAGTGATTTTTAAAACTATGATATGACCTTTGAACCATTCAAAACTTCATGGGTACAACGATAAATAAACAAAGACAAGTGTCACTCATCCACATTACGTACCACATCACCAACGTTCTCACAAAGCTTACCAAAAGTGGACCACGTAAATCGAATTGTTCGAACTTTGAACTTTGAATTATATCGCTTTGCCAGATGGACACTGTGAACATGTTTGTCTCTCAACGTGGCGTTGATAGAGAAAGGGAAGGGAGATTTCAGGGAGGATGGACTTTGATGAGGCTGTGGCCAAGGTGAAGAAATTGAAGCGACGTCCGACAGATGACGAGTTGTTAGAACTTTATGGATTGTATAAGCAGGCTATTATGGGTGATAATACTAGTAGCAAACCTTGGATCGATTTCAAAGCTCGAGCCAAGTGGGAAAGTTGGCAAAAAAGAAAAGGTTATCAATAACTGTCGGATTGAATATATTTTACTTTGAAAATAATATTGCAAGTTGCATGTTGCAAACTTTAGAACTAGGCTTGTGAGCTTTTCAAATATATATGGTGAGGCTATTCTGATGAAAACTGGTTGTTTTACATTCTTCCTTAGTGAATAATATTTATCTAAGCAATACTTTCGGATATTGTTGAATTCTACCTTATATGAGTTTCATCAAAGCTTTAGTCATATCATTCGTTTTGTGGAATGGCCTTATGCGTTGCTTTAAAGGTATGTCGAGCGAAGAAGTCAAGGAGCAATATGTTAAGCTTGTCCAAAAGCTCATCCAAAAATATGGCTTAATAAATGATGCATAAAATCTTAGCTACTCTATTTATTATCATGCAGCCACTGTTCAACAATTTGACCGTTTGCAAGCAGTGCAGAGAAAACCTTCAAAATGATGCTTTGTTAATGTTTTCTCTCTGTTCGTATTGCAAAATATATCGAAGACGCTTCCTGTTTCATCACTTTAAATATTGTTTCTTTATTTTAGTCAACTCCAAAGCTTATGTTGTTGGAAGAGGAAAAATGGGAGAAGAATATATGAATCAACTAATTGACTTCGAAGTTGCCTGTAAAGATTATGTTATAGCCATTGTTAATAGCTATACTTTTCAGTTTAGTATTGTTATGCAAGTGTGTTGAATGGATAAATATTTAGATATCGGTATCATAACCGTTATTGTAATGTAAATTATTGCTACTTGTTCAGTGTATTTTCTCGCGTACATTATCGCTACGTGTTTTCTGCATTATGCCGCTTGGCAGCGTTTTTTTTTTTTCATTTTTAAAGATATAACAAATACTTATTAAAGTGATTATAGTCTTGATCACAAGTTGGTTTGATGAGCAACTTTTCACATGTTATAATTTCAAGATGTCATGACAAGGTGGCCGAGAAAGATTAATCGAGATGACTGTATTATCGAACCGATGCATCCGGCAATTATATTTCTGCAGGAAATGGTCAGTAGTACGTGCGACAAAACCTACTTTTGTCAAAATACGAAGAGCATCATCGGGGGCAACTCTTGTTAAGATTGCACCGAAAAACTTACAGCCTTACTTGAGATTGATGCGTATCGATAAACCTACTGGTTCGTTTATTCTAAACATTGTATAGGACACAATGTAGTTTACTACAAATCACGCCACTAAATTTTTTTCAGTCTTGCGATATTTTAATTTCTATTTAATGTTCATGGATTGTCAAATTATGCTGATACTTTTTTATCAGCATAATTAAAAGGATAATTAAGCAATACTGTGGTGTTTGTATAGGTTTTTGGTTGCTTTATTGGCCATGTACATGGTCAATAGCGCTAGCTGCACCACCAGGTTCATTGCCTGATCTAAAAATGCTTGCATTATTCGGTGCTGGATCAATTCTAATGCGTTCTGCCGGTTGTATTGTGAACGATATTTACGATAAGGATTACGACAAAATGGTTCATTTTAGATGCCATTATTACCACTCCATTCATTTTCCCACTTTTTTATTTTTTTAGCAGTTGATACCTTAGATAAAGAGTCTAACAAGAAAAGTTGGCAACAATATGCATAAAGTTGTCCTGTTCCTTACTTTTCTGCTTTTATTCTTATTGTTAAGGTTGAACGAACAAAATCAAGACCGCTTGCAACTGGAGAAATTAATAATCGACAAGCTGTCGCTATTCTTGCACTGTTACTATCTGGATCATTGTCCATACTTCTGCAGTTCAGCTGGTTCAGGTTTCTATCTTGTGTTGCTTATTCCTTCCATTTCATTTATTTCATTTTTTCTTCCTCAAATATTATATTTCAAATATGAACCGCGCAGATTACCTGATCTCTTTGGCTTGTTCGAATAAATTAGCATTTATATACAACTAAGACACGAGTGATCAGATTTCACTTTGTTTAATCATAAGTGTCGTTTGATGCTTGTAATGACAATCATTTCCTGTGAAATTGATGAACTTCAACTTTGATGGCTTTATGATAACAAAAAAAATCGTTCTGAATTTATGGCATTTCAGTGTTGTCGTAGGTGCTAGCTCATTACCTTTGGTTGTCATATATCCATTGGCAAAGCGCTGTACATATTGGCCACAGTTCATTCTTGGTAATCTTAACTGTTCTTTAATCTTTTTTGCTTAAAGTACTCGGCACTATGGTTTTACAGAAGGTAGAATTTCTTAGGAGCAAGCAGACTCTTGTTTTACTAAGTTGTCGATTTGCCGAACTTTTTTTTTGATTGCAGTGCTTTGCAAACTAATACCTTACTCCTAGTATTTCTGCTTTCGTAACTCAAAAAACTGGAAAATACATTGAAAACTTGAACATTCATTCCTTGTTCAAGAATTTCAGGGCTTACCTCTAACTGGGGAGTATTTATTGCGTGGTGTCACTTGTGTCCGAATACACTACTTACCGTCATTCCTTTGTACACTGCTACCGTGTTTTACACTGCTACATATGACACCATATATAGTCAGCAGGTATTATACCTTACATTATCACATTCTAACAGGACAAGCTCACATCACTATTGGCACGTTTGGTGCTACCAAATTTGAAGAACTTAAAGCTAAGGAAAATTCGATAAACCCTAAAATGCAAAATTTAAAATTTAGCTGATATCTAACACGTCTCAAAATTATTTTTTTCAAAAATACCGCTTTTTCTGTTGCTTTTCTTTTTATTTATTTCTTCTTCTTCTTTCAGTCTAAAATACTTATTTTATTCCATGTCTTGAAATTGATTTTTCTCGCTCCACTCATTAATTACATTTCTGCACAATTCATGCTGCCGATTTATAGTTTTTGGAAATATAGTTCCAAGACTTTATAATGACTGTAATCAGATAAATGTGCAGAAATCACATGGAGCTCACTGTTAACTTGTTCTGGTGTTATTACAAAAAATGTTTTTCTAGATATTTTAAAAGAATTAGACAGATAAGACTGTCTAAAAAAATAGAAGTGTTATTCCAAAGCCTTAAGTCCAATTTATCTCACATTTCATAGAACGACAGCTTTTAATAAAAGTTTTCATAGATGCATATTTCCATTTTAAGACTTAATTTAACTTCCGCGCTTTATAATGGGTGCAAAGGATAAATGCAAATCTGTAATTTCAGGATTTAATTAGAACTAAGTTTTGCATCAACATTCATTTATACTGTAGCTTGAATTATCAAGCAATAGGGGTTAAAAGGTCGCAGAAGAGTAATTGTCCAAAAACTTTACACCACTACTGCTATTGATTCCGCAGGATTGACGTTCAACTGGGGAGCACTGTTGGGCTGGGCCGTTATACGCGACGAATTATGCGCAGCGGCATTTTTATTGTATATGGCTTCGGTGAATTGGACTCTGATTTACGACACTATATACGCTTATCAGGTGGAATAGGCTTGGACACAATATGCCCCACATATACTTACAGACATTACTGACAAAACACTGTAAAAAATCACTTGATAATGTAACAAAATCACTGGAATCGAAGTGACTGCTTAAAACTTTCTACTGATATGATATAAGGAAGGATTTAAGTATCGCCTCTTTATATAAGTATGCTGAAAGTTATCTCCTTGATGACCATCTGTAAAGTAAGTCAATTAGTACTAATAAGGCACTACATTGTTGCGCCCTTTATCCTTGCATACACTTCAATTTACCATTTAGGATAAAACGGATGACCTGATTGTTGGTGTTAAATCTACGGCTTTGCTTTTCGGTGATAAAATGAAGTATTGGTTGACTGGTTTCACAGCTATTACTATGCTAGGTATTGGAGCCACAGGTATTATAGTACAGCAGACGTGGCCCTTTTATGGTGCATTAGCGGTTACTGGGGCACATCTTACATGGCAAATTGGTACCGTGAATATTAACGACCCGAAGGATTGCTGGAAAAAATTTAAAACCAATCAGGTAAGACATTAATATTTAATATTTTTCAAACACAAGGGACTGTCTTAATAGTATCACTGGTGTACAAATATTCATAAGTTATCTTTGTCCTCATTCCTAAGATTATAGTTAGCAAGTATTTCCCAAAATTTTGTTTTTGAAAGATGAACCACATAAGCTCATTAGTGTTAAATTATAGTATTACAGTCAACTTCAACAAATATGCATAATGGAAATTGCAAACACATCTGAAATATAAAGAAAAAAGATAAACAACTTTCACAATTTTTCTTAAGGGAGAAGTTTAGTGGAAAACTGTACTTCATAAGTTATCCTTTTTTCATAAAATGGAAGAAGGGGCTGTAGCGTGACACAAGAATTTGTCGTAGATCACTTTAAACATGAATCATCAGTTTTTCACCACTATTTTTTTCCAGTGGCTTGGTATTATCTTACTTACTGGTATTGTGGCAGGAAATTTATTACGAAAAGAAGAAAAAGAAGGAGAAGCGCCGTCTTTGTAAAGTTTGTTAAATGATATGCCTCTTGTACTCTTTTAATAAGAGAAGATAAATATCAATTTTCAATGGATGTCGTGCTCTCATATAAATATGTTAATGTAGATCGGTAACATACATTTATCCATAAAGAAATCTGAGCATGTGCTGTTCAAGCATAACAAATTCACTGACTTTGTTTGAGGCACATTCGAGCAATCAGTGCAGATAATTGAAGTAGTGAGCTAAGTCCTTCTACAACTCGCACATGACACAAACCAATTTCCTGAAATCACTAATTTTTTAGCATCATATAGACTTACCCAATTCCACCAATGTCATATACTTCATATGAAACAAAATCAATAACCTTCATGTATTCCAATTTCAGATATTCAGGAATGTTGACTGTTTTACACACACGAACCATATTGTTGAGGATATCCTCTGATGAATAACCCATCCGATAAAGACTGTGTATAATTTCACCAGCTTCGATTACTTTCCCATGAACACAGTGTTCAATCATTTGCATTACCATTTTTGGATGTGGCTCGTCACATACCTTTGTTATACCTCATGAATTCTACACTTTGGTAAATAAGGCTTTAAACCCAAAATAGGAAGATTTTAGCTTAGTGCCTCATACCACTATGGCATATTGAATAAAGTCTCACAGCATTAATTTCGAAACATCGCAGTCTTGTGCGAGACCACTATAGAACTATCATGGATTCAAGCAGTTTTGAAGCTCTATGTTCCCACGTGTTAACATCCATTCAATTACGCCCTGCATTTTGCTTCACTATGAACTTATGAAGGTGGATGTTATTCCAAGAACTAAACAGCAATGAGCATAATAACGTTAAAAAATGTAACAGTTTCCATCTCCATTTCAACGAAAAATAACAATGGGTCAAAGTGTTTACCTTGAAAACATTATCAGCCGTAACATTATTGAAACCAACTACTGTACACTGTAAGTTATTAAGAGCCTGGAAGAAACACTCATAAGAAGAAGAAATTATTCAGTTCAATATAAAGATAACTCAGTGAAGCATGACTCGCATCTACCGTCAGTTGAAACAAATAACGTGCTTTATCTATCGATATCTTTCCTCGCTTTACAGTCATAATAGTACTGTCTATTATTATGCTCATTTTGCAAAGATATTATTGCATATACATATAATTTAAGAAAAATAATTTCCTATGGTTACCTGTCGCATATCTCCTTGGGCAGTAAAAACTAGGGCGTCAATTCCACTATCATCATAAATTACCCTTTCTGCTTCACATACTTCCAACAATCTCTTCACAATTTGTTCCTCAGAAAGTTTCGAAAATCGCAAAATAGCACACCGAGACTGAATCGGTTCTAAAGTGGCTAACAAATAGTAATCCACTAATTCAGAAATACAAATTTTCGTAAACAAATAACAATAAAGATATTTTGACTAAAAAATCCCAGCTTAGCTTTATAAGTAATATTTTTTATCCAGACGGTTTGTCTCTTTTTCTCACTGATAATTTATCTATCGAAGAAACAAACAGAATTATCCCCAAGAAAGCTAAACTTCCCTAATGAAATTAAAGCGTAGATGAGTAAATTTACCTATAACTTTTCCAGACTGATTGCAGGCAAGAGCAAAGCGTGTCGTCTTACTATATACCTCCATTGTTCTTCGGAGTGCCTGTTGTGCTCCCTCTGTCATTGAATCAATTTCATCCAGTATGATTATTTTATGCCTTCCTGGGGGTAATGTTACCTTACTTTGTGCAAAATTTTTGATTTTATTTCGTACAACGTCTATCCCCCTGAAATCTTTATAATATTCTCGAAATAGTTTGATATGTTATCAGATAAAACATAACCAAAACCTTTAGCAAGAAATGTAATAATGATGTAAGGAAAGCGTGAAGATTACAGATCCAGAACAATAAACATTAAAAACAGCAAGAATTTGAAAAATATTTACCTGTCGTCGGAGGCATTCAGCTCCAAGCATGCACTTTTAAGACGATCACCGAGCATTTCTCGCGCTAATGCCCATATACTCGTTGTCTTGCCACATCCTGGCGGTCCCTTAAAATTATAAATCAAAATTGAGCAAAAAAATTATATGTCAGTAGAAACAAGCTTCACGTCAAAAAAGTAGACTCTAAAAGACTCTAAGTATGAAAAAAAAACATTAAAAAATGACTGAAATAATGATATTTGGTGTGTTTCCTTGCTTTGCAAAGGCAGCCAAGCGTTGAATCACAAATTCATTTCCAACCACTTCCGATAAAATTTTTGGCCGATATTTCTCGACCCTGCAACAACAAAACAACTCTTGATAAAACCTCTTGCAATCATGAATCAAAAGCTACAGTTGAAATGAATTTCGCACATATGAAAAATAAACATAAGAATGCCTCTAACAAAAACATCAAATATTTTTGCATATGACCATTTATTGACGTCATTTGAAGCATATAACCATAAACTCAATCCATTTTATCTATGTCTGATTCTTCCCCGTCTTTCTTTTCTTGATTTACCTACATCTTTTATGAAATTCATTTAGTTTTGGTTCGTTAACCTCAATCGTCACTGCACCCACAACGGGATGTCCAAAAATTATTCAAACTAGCGATAATAGAAGTGATAAAAATTATTATTGCACAAAGTTATCAGCTTTAAATAACAACAAAAGTAAGACTGACCAAGGAGTGCTTGAATTCATCCGTTTATACTTTCTCTAATTGATCTTACACCTGCAAACAACAATACATAGATCAGTTAAAAAGTTCTCAATAGAGATTAAAGTTTGTCCCTAAAATGATGGTATATTCAGTAGTTTGGATATATAAGGTTAGTGTAGAAGGTCAACTTTAGATTAAATTGTTAACTCCCACAAAAAGCCTTTCATAACCACATTTCCAACACTACCAAATCTCCTTATTTTTTAGAATGTTTGAAATTCAAACACAATTTCAAAAATTGTAAACCCGCTATGAAATTCTTCTGTACCACAACATTGTACTTCGATCTTTGACGCCTCTTCTCTTTGAACATTTATGATTGGGGAATTTGGATTTTACCGAAAGATTGTTAGGTTAGTTTCCTAAAGAGTTAGAAAGAAGAACGTCCTATCGAGGATTAGAAAAACTAATAATTTATTTATAATACGTATGAAATATTAATTGGAAGGAAACTGTGATAATACTGTTGAAAATAATAATAAAAAAAATTGCTAAAAGTGTATTTTAGGCTCATATTAAATTTACGTAGTGAAATGAAGATCATCAACAAATAAGACTTGCAGGACTGACTTGCAGAATAGCAAATTTTGCAATATTAACAATATCAAACATTATTTCCTCTGCAGCAGTATCAGTTCGACAATGAAATTCGATGCATTCAGTACCTTCATTTTATTACACATCCAACACGATAAAACAACGTAAAAAAAGAATTCAAGCAAAACTCTTGTAATTTTTCCATGATAATAACTGTAACAATCTGATATCGCAAATTAAAAGCTTTAAAATTATCTAAACCGAAAGTTTTAATGCCTGAGAATTAACTTCAATTATTGGATCAAAAAACAAACCTAAAATCAATCCAGAAATCAGAAGCAATTTTTTTTCCTGTTATTATGGTTCTGATAGCTCTCTCTCTCTCTCTCTCTCTCTCTCTCTCTCTCTNNNNCTCTCTCTCTCTCTCTCTCTCTCTCTCTCTCTCTCTCCATATCACCATTATATATGTGAAAAGATGTATAGATGTAGATCAGCGTACATAACTCTTCAATTATATGAGATGAAATTTTCTTGATTTTCTCTCCTCATTTGTGCCATCCATAGGTAAGCTGTTATTAAAATTTCTGTATAAC